GAGACCTGTCCAGGGTGTCCCTGTGATGGACTGGAGACCTGTCCAGGTGTTCCCTGCCTTTCGCACAGTGACTGCTAGATAAGTGACGCCCGCGACCCAGAAAGAAAGCAGCAGGTAAACGATGATGGATGGATGGAGAACAAGGTCAGTGTTCTCTCCATAACCAGTGATCTTGTGGACCAGTTCTGGATAACGTTTCACCCCCTCCTCTGATGAAGCCGGGGATGGTTGCGTCTTCTCTATATGTAATGATAATGTTTTCATGAGCGGGGGCACAGTCATGTGTGTATACAGGGAGAGGTTTTGGACAGATGTGGCCGCCCTGTGTTTGTTATCAGTTCTGTGGAGAACATGTCAGAGGCTTGTGAGCCTAAGGCTCATTCTGGAACTGCACTTGTGTTGACCTCTGTACAAGGTTAAACCATTTTAAGTGAGGCGCAGCAGCACACAACTGCACCTTTCACATGGCGCACTGACCACAGCTCTATTTTGTAGATTAGTAGAAAAATTAGATTTTATTTCTGGTCAGTGCCATCATTTTTCTCTTTAATGCCAAACCTAAAAATGGAACTACCTTATTATAGTTCTTTCCATATTCTTGGGAATGCACCGACTGTGGCTATATTTGACAAAGTTTTTATAATATTACTACGCTGGTCTTAAATAAAGAGAAGCAAAGTGTGGGGTATGATCTTAATCTGTGGGATGACAATCATGGCTAAAAATGTTGTGTGGTCTAACGTAAAGAGGAGCACCTGTTCAGATTCATGACACTTGATGTGCAGATTTGATTTCTTTGTATTTTTAGATCAGTTTCTGTTTGTTCATCCAAGAAATTGTAAAGAAAGGTACAGCAGAACCTCTCAATTTTGATGAAGGAAGGAGAGCTAGTCCAGTTAATCTGGGATTAGTGATTTGTCTTAGACCAACTGTTAATTACACTTTTTTAAGGCTTTCAGATTTTCTCATTCAAATGGAAAATCATCATCATAAATTTAATAAATACAGCACACGCAGCACCTGCCTAAATATCTGGGGTCAGGAGTCACTCTGAGGTAACACCTGTGGACTTCAAGAAGCAGACTGTTACTTTTACAGCTACCCCCGAGGCGGACATTCATGCCGGGGTCAGGGGGGTTATTTTTGGACTGTCTTCTTGACTAAGATAAACTTGACCAGTGCTCCCTTAAAAGTTGTCTTCGACTGCAGAGACTCCGAGTCTGACTGGGCTGTTGTTCCCTGGGGAGTGTCTGTGAGGCGGGTTAGGATGTGTTTTTAACTGAAATGTCTTTGTTTATGCCATAATCATTGATATTAATAAACAGCTTCAGCGTGATGTTTATCAGATCACATCTGTACATGTTTGCATCATAAATATCCTGTGGCAGCCAGTCCATAGGGGCAAAACAAAAAATAATAATTTGCCCCACCAAGTAGTTCCTCCTAATAATGGAAATTATTTATTTACTGATCTTGGTGTGTGTTGTTTTATGCATTTTTCAACTAATTTGACCATTTTAAGAGGAATTTAAAATTAGTTTTAGTGATTCAACCTCAGTTTTTTTTATTTTTTTTTTTACTTATTTACTGTTATGGGGCAGTACCGTTCAACAACCCACGCTCGTCACGCAGATCCGAATGTACGGTCAGTAGGGCTGGGCGATTTGGACCAAAATCAATATCTCGATATTTTAAGATAAATGGCGATTTATGATGTATACCTCAATGTTTTTTTCTTTCCATAAAGTAATAACAAAAATATATTTCTAAGTTAAAGCTAATGTCCCAATTGTCACACAGGCACCTTTAAACAAAACTACAAATGTACAAATTAAATGTCTAAAAAATAAAATAAAGTTTTGTTCCTCCATAACAAAACCAAAAACACAGCCGTGCTCTTAAAATTTAAACAGAACACATACAGAGCAAACACAACGACAGGCTGACTTGTTCTTTAAAAAGTCAGATTCTAATGAAGTATATTCATTCTAACTTTATTACCGGTAACTTTTATTAACAAAGCTGTTAGAAAGCCCACATTGTTGTGTAGTTGGCTGGTTTACTGAGCTCAGTTCTGTTTGGTTACGGCTCTTTCAGGCGGGTCAGCGGACACGCAGCCGCTGACCCGCCAGTTGAAATGGACTGGAGACCTGTCCAGGGTGTCCCCCACCTCTCGCACAGTGATGGCTGGACATGGGCACCAGTGACTCTCGCTCCCCGAAAAGGAAGAAGCGGGTATGGACGGATGGGTTAGTTGCACGTGCGCATCTCCGCACCTCTCGTCATCTTTGGTGAAGGAAGTAGCAGCATAAAAGCCGAAGAGAAATAGAAAAATAAATTTAAAAAATATATATAAAAAAATAAATAAAAAGCCGAAGCGAGCAGCGCGTAAATTTAAAATAACCTTGTTCTATGTTTTTCCAAATGATTTTGCTTAAACAAAAACAAAAATGCCTCATTACGTAACGGCTCCTGCCCATTTCTGTCCAAATCACAGAGATGCCTATTCGCATTGGATTAGTATTATCACAGGACCTTGGAGTTCAGCAAAATATAGTGGGTAATTTGTGGGGGAATTTTCACTGTACAAATTACTGACATTCGCACGGGATTAACAACACAGACAATCTCCGTAATTATTACAAATAGCATGTGGTCCCTAGGTAAAACTAATCCCGTGCGAATAGGGCTTAAGATAAGGTGCTATAAGACTGAGTTTGCTGTAGGATGTCAGACTGATGAAGTCTACTGGATAAAAGACAAAACGTTTAAAAAAGAAGAATCCGTCCTGATGACCTGACTTAACCTTGTTAAAAATGTTCTACCTAGATTATTGAGCATGCATCAGGATATCCATGTTTACAAAGTAAGCATCACAACTGTCCAGGTGGGTAGTACCCATGTGTTGATGAGCTGCAGCGCAATCTGTTCCCTCATCCCTTTAATTACACCTACCTTTCTCTACTAAAATGACATTTTATACGGGGAGTAAACATTTCAGGATGCTACATCATAATATAAATGTGTTAGAAGGGTATATATGTCAAATATGAAAGCTTGTTTCCTCACTTTTATCTTTAACAATAACATTTCTGTTCAAATTTACCTGTTCTTCCCTAAAATTCAATTTCAGAAACCAGAATTTAAAGGGAAAACTGACAGAAACTGGAGAGGGGAAACAGATTTCACCACAACACCGGCAGCTAGCTTACGTTAGCAGAGGCTAACAAGCTGCGGGCTAACCAGGTTCTGAGTTGGACCGGTTCATAAAGACCAGGAACAGACTCAGCAGAACCGAACCTGCTTTCTGACAGAGTTTCAGTCGGAAATCTTGTAAAAACGAAGTCGTTAAAAAGCCAAACTCAGGCTCGGTGTGAGCCAACTAGCATAAAGCTAACTGTTAGCATTAGCAGAGAAATTTAGAGATTTTAAACATTAACAGGGATATACGGTTACAAAGCACATGTTTAAATAAAATAAACAGCAGAGAGATAATCCAACACAATTAGTTTGATTGAACCAGAACTTTTAAACTGTTTAATTCTTGGAGAGCTGGACATCTGACCCGGGCCAGAATGGAGCATCAAAACACCAACAAAATGAAGACATGTAAAGTTATTTTTTATCAAAAAACAAAAACAACACTGTGCGTCTGATTACTGCCGATGGAATGTACAAACGCACCCGTGTCACAAAAGGTCAGAGAAACCACCCCAATCCATGGATTTATTTGTTGACAACAAGGAACGTTTCAATCTGACAGATTTGTAATAGAATTTTGTTTGATTCGTAGATCTGTTACTAACTAGACGGTTTAGCCCCTGACTGGGGATGCAACAACCGTGTCACTAAACCGGGAGAACACCGAGTAAAGCTCCGGGCTGTGAGCGGTGAACTGCGAGGCCTCCAGCGGGGACCAGGCTCCCTCAGCGCGGACTGAAGCAGCCGCTGAGGCCGGCTCCGTAAATACTCGCCTCCCGCGTTATGACAACAATGTGGCGAGACGCTCCTACCTGGACCGGTTCCTGCAGCACCGTCATTCCGCTTCCAAAGTCCGTCTGTCGGCTTCGCTAGTCTGTTTCTTTCTTCACTTCTATCTACTGGAGGACCTGCAGCCGAACATTTGAACGTGCCGACCGTTACCTGCCGAGCAAAACCGAAGAATCCCGAGCGTTACGCGCCGAGCACAGCCGAAGAACACATAGCGTAAGATGCCGAGTTCAACCGATGATTACGTCATTCACCGAAGAATGCCGGGGCTAAAGGTCAACAGCACCTCCTGCTGGTAAGATTAGGTAATGCGAGTAAAAAGCAGAGTGTGTCGTCTCCTGGAGGTCGTTTTTGTTTAACTATGAGTGGTGACGTTTTTGCCCACGTCTGTTTGTTTTTTTGTACTGTTGGGAAAATAAAATGAGCACTGAAAAAAAATAAATAAAAATAAAAAAAAAAGTAAATGAGTTGATGTGTATATCCGAATAACTCTCTGAAGTGAATCCAATCCAAAATGGTAGGAAAAATGCTGAATAGTTTTCAAAGTTTTTTATAGTTTTGTCTGTTTTACCTTCACTAAATAAATTATTAAATAAAATGAGCTCACCCAGTCAGACTCAAATAGAAAAGTCAAATATTAATGCAACACACTTTATTTATATTTATTTCACGCTGACAGTTACATCTTCCATCACATCAGAACATCAAACACGAAGATGGGCCTATGTTGACTCAGGAGCGGGGCGGGGGCGGGGCCTTCGGCTGGAGAGGCGGGGCTACAGAGTGCAGTTTGCTTCTGGAGAGAGTCGGCACTTTGCCACTGTCAGGTAAGTCTCCACCTGTAAAAACAGCCATTGTTCCATCACTGCCATTGTTATATCATCGTGACATCATCAAGTTTTTTTTCTCCTTCCTTACCTTGTGCATGTCTTTCTTGAAGCAAGCCAGCAGTTCATAGGTTCTCCGCAGCGACTCCTCAGACCCGAGGCTCTGGTAGTAGTTTCCATATGGTGCCAGCTGGAGGGCCGAGGTGTCCGTAAAGATCTCTGGTGCATCCAGATTGGTCTGTAACATGAGATGAGTGGTTATCCAGGTAACATGGCCACCCAGAGGAGGGCTCAGACCACGCGGTCAGCGTGTATTCTCACCCTGAGCAGCAGCAGGATCCCTGTCTTCAGTTCAGACAGTTTTGGTGAGATCTGGTTCCTTAGGGCAGAACCTCCGGACAGAGAACGACTCGGGAACTCCCAGGACTCCACCAACCGGAAGGAGATGGACAGCAGCTTCAGAACCTGGAACCAAACACAACGGAAGAAAGTACTACACTAAAAACTTGGACTTTGGTTCTGTGTAGTACTCTGTAGTACCGTGTTGTACTGCATGCATAGTACTGTATAGTACTGCACAGGATAGCACAGTGCAGTACAGTGTAGTACAGCATAGTAAATGGTAAATGGACAGTACTTGTATAGCTTCTTTCTATCTTGTCAAGATACTCAAAGCTCTTTACAACAATCTGTGCCTCATTTACCCATTCATACAGCACTCTACTAGATCTCTACAAAGAATAATCAGAGCTTTAGATCACGTTTATACACCAATGGGACACACATCAGAGGCAATGAGGGGTTCAGTGTCTTGCCCAGGGACGCTTCAGCATGTGACTGCTGGTGGAATCAAACCTCCAACTCTCCCACTGGAGGACGACTGCTCTAACCACTCAGCCAAAGCTGCCCCCAGTACAGTGCAGTACAGTGTAGTACTGTATAGTACAGTATAGTACAGTAGTTAGTACATTGCAGTGCAGTGCAGTGTAGTACAGTGTAGTACTGCATAGTACAGTATAGTACAGTATAACACATTGCAGTACAGTTCAGCACAGTATAGTACTGCATAATACAGTATAGTACAAAGCAGTACAGTCTAGTACAGTGTAGTACTGAATAGTACGGTGTAGTACTGTATAGTACAGTGTTGTATAGTATAATACAGTGTAGTACAGTGTAGTACTGTATAATACAGTGTAGTACAGTAAAGTGCAGTGTAGTACTGTATAGTACAGTATAGGAAAGTGTAGTGCAGTATAATACAGTGTAGTACAGTAAAGTGCAGTGTAGTACAGTGTAGTACAGTATAGGAAAGTGTAGTACAGTATAATACAGTGTAGTACTGTATAGTTAGAACAGTGTAGTACTGTATAGTACAGTTTAGTGCAGTGTAGTACTGTATAGCACAGTGTAGTACAATATAGTACAGTGTAGTACTGTACAGTACAGTGCAGTTTACTGACTGAGCTGCGCTGCGTCTCGTGCTTATCGATGGGGCTGATGATGTAATCAGAGTTGCAGAAATCCTGCAGGAAGATTTTGTTGAGTTGACGTTGTTCTTCTGTCTGAAGAGAGCTTTCCTGTAACAGAGTAATACACACAAGTACTCATAAACCCATAGTAATACACACAGGTATTATAGCAAAGACACACAGAGTCCACCCTTGATGTCCCTGCCTGTTTCCAGGACTCACAAAGTCGGAGAAGAGTCTCTGGGCGAGCAGGTGGAGGTGTTGGACTCTGCTGACGGCGATGGAGAACAGGCGCTGGCTGTCTGTGATTGGCTGAGAGGAAACGGTCACACACACGGCGGACAACAGGAGGATGGCTGACAGGTGGGACAAGGTAGACAGGGGAGACAGGTGAACTGAAGAAGTTTTTTCAAGAAAGTTTCTTTGACCGTTAGCAGCTAACAGTTCAGTTTCCATGGTAACCAGCATCTCAGGGCATTTCCCTGGCAGAACATCATTAAAGTCTCAAACCTGCGGGTCTTACCTCTGTCCATGGCTGGTCTAGGATCAGGTCAGGTGCTGCCTCAGGTGAGTCTGCTCTGTGATCTGATGCCTCGGCCCAGAGTTTTGAGGTTTTATAGGTGAAGATTTGATTATTAAATTCATCAGAAGAAACATGAAACGAACAAACAGGTGAGTCGGTGTTTAATTAACATTAACTCCTCATCTAAAATGATATTTATGCAGCATTAAAGAACAATCTGCTGGAAACTCTGACTATGATGTCAGGTGATATTAGACCTGCTGAAGGCTGAGGAGACGTCACAAAAAGACACAAAGGGAAACTTTTATTTCTAAAAAATGTTAAAAGTCAGTGAAAACTTCAGAGGACATTTTCAGCTGTCTTGTCAACGATCATCATGTCGATGACTATTGACCTTTCTTTTGTCTAAAACTAAAGATAATTAATACACTTTTTTAAAAAGTGTTCCAGTCCACCTGTCCACAAGTGTTCTGGTCCACCTGTCCATAGGTGTTCTGGTCCACCTGTCCACAAGTGTTCCGGTCCACCTGTCCACAGGTATTTCGGTCCACCTGTCCACAAGTGTTCTTGTCCACCTGTTCACAGGTGTTCCGGTCCACCTGTCCACAAGTGTTCTGGTCCACCTGTCCACAGGTGTTCTGGTCCACCTGTCCACAGGTGTTCCGGTCCATCTGTCAGCTGGTGTTCCAGTACACCCATCCACAGGTGTTCCAGTACACCCATCCACAGGTGTTCTGGTCCACCTGTCACCTGGCGTTCCGGTCCACCTGTCCGCAAGTGTTCCGGTCCACCAGCTGGCGTTCCATTCCACCTGTCCACAGGTGTTCCGGTACACCCATCCACAAGTGTTCTGGTCCACCTGTCAGCTGGCATTCCGGTCCATCTGTCCACAGATGTTCTGGTACACACATCCACAGATGTTCTGGTCCACCTGTCAGCTGGTGTTCCGGTCCATCTGTCCACAGTTGTTCCGGTACACCTATCCACAAGTGTTCTCGTCCACCTGTCTGCAGGTGTTCTCGTCCACCTGTCTGCAGGTGTTCTAGTCCACCTGTCCAAAAGTGTTCCGGTCGACCCGTCTACAGGTGTTCAGGTCCATCTGTCTACAGGTGTTCTGACCCACTTCAGAACAGTCCAATGCTTGGTTCTGGTCCATTCTTGTATTTTTAGCTGTGGTGCAGTGGATCATCACCATCCTGTTTGAGGACCTGTGACCTGCGACTCCGACCAAGCTTTCTGACTCTGTGCAGAACATGTGGATCCAGAAAGTCTTGATAGTCTTGAGATGTCCTTGTGTCCTGCACAGGTTCAGGACATCATGACCCAGATGCAGAACAAAACCGAGCCTCCTCCAAGTTTCACTGCAGGTACAGGGTTCTTCTGGGTCTACATACTGAGCTGATGGGACTTGTGGTCAAAAAGCTCAAGTTTTGTCTCATCTGTCCAGAGGACAGTCATCCAGAATCTTCATGGCTTTTCAGTATCTTGTTTGTGGTGTCCTCCTCGGCCATCTTCCATTTTGTCCCCTTTGTCTCAGAGACTGATGGTGCAGTTGGACACTTTTGACCGTTGACCTTGAAGTTCACCTCTAATCTCTTTGGAAGTTGTTGTGGACTCTGCTCACCATCCGTGTCTCTTCAGTTTGCCAGTTTCCTCTTGTGGACACGTCCAGGGAGGTTGTCTCCAGTATTTTCAAACTAATTCAGTCTCATCAAATTCCAAAAGCATTTTTCTTTAACCGAGTTTTTAAATGACTTTAATCCGTTTGAAGTTGTGTTTTTTTTTCTTTACAAACATTTCTCTCATTTGGACTCCACTGGAACTTGTCGGTGAAACAGGACGTTGTGAAAGTTTCTCAATAAATTTGACCTCTGTGTTGAACTAATATTATAAAACTTGACAATCTTTGAGCTTCCTGTCCATGTTGGGTTTCAGTCATCGGTCCAGGTCTGGTGGTCTTTCCATAACCTCATTCAGGAACCAAACACAAAGTTAAATGTAAGAGTTTGATGGTTTGAATCTTGAGCTGAAGTTTTGCTTGATTTGTTGCAAAAATTAAGCTTTGCTCTTTCTGTTTACGTCATTTACTTTTTGTTGATGTTGAACCAACAGAAGAAGAACCAACGTGTTAAAGGGCCAATAAATGGACATAATGGCTTTCAGCTCATCACTTAATATTTATTCTTCATAAACACCAACTTTTACCAAAAATCCTCAACGTTCAGGACAGGTTCAAACATCTCATGATGGGTTAGACGAATGAAGATTTTAAAAAGTCTAAAAGGTTTTCCAACTTGTTGGGTTTGATCTGAAGCGTGACGAGATGTGAAACGCACCCTCAGGCGTTCGGTGTTTTTGTCCTCAGGAGGTGTGAATTTATTCACCGATGTTCTGTTGATCTGAGTCACGTTACACACGGGTCTGAATTTATTCAGAGCTGCAGGAAACTGAGACCATCGGCGAGCAGAATCTGGACCGACCCGAAGACCTTTAACCAAATGATGGCCAACATCAGAACTGCGTCAGCTCCCAAAGTTTAGAGCTTCTTCTTCAGGAGATTAAAGTGTCTAAATCCTGTGGTCTGTCCGGTCCGTGGTTCAGACGGAGACCTCAGTTAGAAATCAACTTTTTTGTGTTCATCATTAGCTCAGAACAGATTGTACTCTAAACCAGTTGTCTGTTTCCATGGTGACGATGGCACAATGAACTGCTCACCTGTGCAGGTGTGCGTTCAGCCTATTGGATTAATAAAACGTGAGGATATAGAAACTCAACTTCAGCTTGTTTTTGTTCAACTTTAAGACGCATACTCTGTTATAACGTTTGACAGCAGATAAACCCGAGTTTAGAGACCACAGAAACCCACACGAAGGGAAAACGAGTGTTCGGTATTTAAAAGGTGAAAAGACAAAGAATGGTGCGGGGGATGTCAAGGTGCTGTCAGGAGGGAGATGAAGGGAGACAGGATCCAGCTCTCTCAGGTGCCAAGGAGAAACGCAGTGGTGGAGAGTGGGAAGGAAGGTAAGCTATTTTACAGGAACTGATCAGCGTCTCAGGACGATGAACACAAAGGGATCAAAGTCTTCAGAGAATATGAGAGAGGGGAGAACAGTTCAGCTGCCTTCATGTCTGAAGAGAAACTGACTAAGAGAACATGCACAGGTAACAATCTTTCACAAACAGAATACGAATGTGAACGCTGGTCACCAAGATGAGGTTATGGCTGAGTCCTGAATGGTGCTGAGATGATTATAGGTGGCTTGGAGACACGTGAGAAGGCTGCAACAGGATACGAGCTGAAACCAGGAAGTGCAACAGTAGGACGAGCTGTGTGTGTGTGTGTGTGTATATATATATATATATATATATATATATATATATATATATATATAT